GGATGTGGATGGATGGATGTGGATGGATGGATGGATGGCATTTTGGCGTTTTGCGGAGAAAACGGAAAGAGAGCTGGATGGAATGCAGGCCGCGACTGTCGTTGCAAAACTGGAATTTGCAAATTTGAAGTATTTGAACGTTTGTAGTCTTCATGCCATCGTTCTTCTCCCCATGTCGTTTTCACAACAATCATTCCACTTCTTCCTTCCATTCCCTCCCTTTTCCTTCTCACCCCCTCACCTTCCGTTACTTCCGATCCGGCCTACTCATAGATAATTCCATCTTTTTCTCCTTTCCCCTCTCTTTCATCTTTATTCAGACTATACTGTATCCCATTCCCGCTGTTCCGTGATATCAACATGGATGAAAATATGGTATAGAAGGAAATGAGAATAGGATAAGATGATGAATATAACCGGTAAAAGCGATCAGCAATGAATCGTTCATTTTTGAATCAAAAATTGATTTATGTTTTCCATTCTTATACATAACTCAAAACGTTTTTTATTTTATTTCATTCCACATTGTACAGTTAGCAAATTTATTTAATATACAAAAAAGGAAATAAAGTTAATAATAAAAAGAAGCAATACTGAAAGCTAATTATAGTGGCAATTTAAAAGGTTTTTTTTTGCTAATTATAAATGACTGTTTTTTTTTTTCATGAAAGAATGCAATAGTGATGTTGATAGAATTACAAATAAAGATGGTATTTCCTGTGAAAAGTATCCTTTTAATATAAATTAATTAAATATGAATTAATCTTATGCTAATTATAATGAATTAATGGCCTTATGAGTTCTGTTTTTTTATTTTTTTTCTATTCTTTAATTCGTGATTATTAGCAGAAATGGTTAATTGAACTGATATGATTGTCAGGATTTTTTCTTGCCACAATTGTATAATTGTAAGTAATTCTGTTAAAATCATAAACAACAAGGATTGTAATATTGTTAACGAATCAATAAAAGATTAATTATGAAAATAATGATAATAATTAGAGTAAAAGATGTGTTGCAACAAAAACGTATAGCGAAACAGGTGATAGAAGATGAAAAAATTGATGGGTATTATCCGTTCAACACTGTCAGCATTGCTGGAATGAGAATGACCTTTAAAAGAAGGAAAAAGAAAAAGAATAATAATAACATGACATAATATGTAACCGTTGAACTGATTTCATTTTATTCAAGCATTCATCCATATCGTGCAAACTGATTAATATTAATATGACCCGATTTTTCCTTCCGGAGATGCACTACAAAAAACCTAAGGAAGCAAAATTAGCATTTTCAAAAAAAAAAAAGAAACAAAAAAATATATATTTATATCAGATAAAAAGAAACTTAAACGAAGGTTAGCATTTTCAATTTCCTAATTGTAACAGATATTCAAAGTTATTTAAGAAGAATAAAGCAAAAAAAAAGAGAAAAGCAAGAATGATTAAAATCACGAAGCAATTTTAATATTTCAAAATAACGTAATTATAAGTGAAAAGTACACAATGGAAAAAGTGCATCGGCAAGTGAAAATAATCATTTGATATATTTGATGAATAAT